CAGCACCATCGCCTCATGCTCAGAGGACAAGACGGTCATCATTTGGACACAGGTGACACACACACACACACACATATACACACAGCCCCCTATAGACACCAATCACTGCATGTGTCTGTGTGTGTTAGGAGATGGAGGGTCAGCCATGGAAGAAGGCCCAGGTGATCCAGCTGGACGGCCCCGTCAGGCGCGTCGACTGGTCCGTCTCCGGCAGCCTCCTCGCCGTGGCCTGCGCCGACAAGCAGGTGCTCCTCTACAAGGAGAACCTCCAGGGCAAGTGGGAGGAGATGATCACCAACCTCAGCCACACACAAGCGCCACCACCTCTACAGCAGCAGCAGCATGGCCAGCCGGAGGAGCTCCTCCCGGCAGGTGTGCACAGGACAGCAAAGAAAGAAGTCACACACTCGTTGCTTCTCACTCTCCGTCATCTTATGTTTGTTGTAGCCCCGCCTGAAGGGTGGCTGCCGGGAGACGAGCGGAGGGTGCCCATGTGGGCCTATCTAATGCGAGGCGAGAGGGACCTACGAGATGGCGACACCGACGACCAAGCGGCTGGTATATGTGTGTGTGTGTGTGTGTGGTGGAGTGGAGTGCGGGAGATTGTCTGTGTCCGTCCGCCTTGTTTGTTTTGTCTGACTGTATGCAGCCCATCGCATGCAGCAGGTCCTGGTCTTCGGCGGCGTCAAGCAGCTGGTCTACGAGAGCCAAGACCACGGGGCGTCCGTCAATGGGGTGGCCTGGGCGCCGTGCCAGTACGGGCCGTATCTCGCTTCAGGTGAGCGACCAACACTCGGTGACCGACCGACAGAGAGAGGACAGGGAGATCTGATGACGCATTCGTTTTCTTCTCTCTCTATGTGTGTGTCGCAGCGTCGTCTGACGGCAAGATCGGCATTCTGCATCACAGCCCCGCCGACCAGCAGTGGGTGCGCACCGAGTTCCACGCCCACACCAACGGTGTGAACGCCGTATCCTGGGCCCCCAGCGGCCCCGCCACACAGGGGCCATCACTCGGTCCCATGAGGATGGTCAGCGGCGGAGCCGACAACCAGGTGAGTGAATGGGCGATGGACGAGGGGAGGGAGGGAGACCACTGGTACATTATAGGTGTGTGGTGGGGTGTATGTCGTGTGTGTGTTTAGGTGAAGCTGTGGCAGTACGACGACCGGTCCCAGAAGTGGGTCGAGCTCGCGGGCATCGACGCGGAGAACGGCCACACTGACGTCATCAGGGACGTGGCATGGCGGCCCAACATAGTGGGGGCCCCCAGCAGCACCATCGCCTCATGCTCAGAGGACAAGACGGTCATCATTTGGACACAGGTGACACACACACACACACACA